CATTGGTTGCAAAACCAGACAATGACCCCACTGAAAGGAGAACTACAGACCAATTTCCCTGATAAACATGCTTTCAAAAATCCTCAACAAGATACTAGCCAACCGGATCCAACAATACATTAAAAGAATTATTCACCACTACCAAGTAGGATTTATACCTGGGATGCAGGGCTGGTTCAATATCTGCAAAACAGTCAATGTGATTTATCACATCAATAAAAGAAAGGAGAAGAACCACATGGTTCTCTCAATAGATGCAGAGAAAGCATTTGACAAAATGCTTTGATAAAAAAAAAAAAAAAAAAAAAACCTCAATAAAGTAGGGCTAGATGGAGCATACCTCAAGATCATGAAAGCCATATATGAAAGACCCACCGCTGATATTATCCTCAACAGGGAAGAATTGGGAGCTTTCCCCCAAAGGTCAGGAACACGACAGGTATGTCCACTCTCACCACTGTTATTCAAGATACTATTGGAAGTCCTAGCCTCAGTAATCAGACAACACAAAGGAATAAAAAGCATCCAAATTGGCCAGGAGGAAGTCAAACTTTCACTCTTTGCAGACGACATGATACTCTATATGGAAAACCCAAAAGATTCCACCAAAACACTGCTACAACTGATCCATGAATTCAGCAAAGTCTCAGGATATAAAATAAATGCACAGAAGTCAGTTGCATTTCTTACACCAGTAATGAAGCAACAGATAAATCAAGGAATCAGTCTCATTTATTATTGCACCAAAACCCATAAAATAACTAGGAATAAACCTAACCAAAGATGTAAAATCTATATACTGAAAACCATAGAAGCTTATGAAAGAAATTGAAGACACAAAAAAGTGGAAAAATATTCTGTGCTCCTGAATTAGAAGAACGAATATTGTTAAAATGTTGATACTACCTGGGGCACCTGGGTGGCTCAGTTGGTTAAACGTCTGACTTCAGCTCAGGTCATGATCTCACAGCTCGTGAGTTTGAGCCCCATGTTGGGCTCTGTGTGACAGCTCAGAGCCTGGAACCTGCTTCAGATTCCGTGTCTCCCTCTCTGCCCCTCCCCCACTTGTGTGCTCGCTCGCTCTCACTCGCTGTCTCAAAAATAAAACATTAACAATTTTTTTAAAAAGAAAATTAATGTCTATACTACCCAAAGCAATCTACATATTCAATGCAGTCCCTATCAAAATAGCACCAGCATTTTTCACAGAGCTAGAACAAACAATCCCAAAATTTGTGGAACCAGAAAAGACCCTGAATAGTCAAAGCAATCCTGAAAAAGAAAACCAAAGCTGGAGGCATCACAATTCAGGACCTTCAAGCTGTATTGCAAAGCTGTCATCATCAAGACACTATGGTACTGGCACAAGAGCAGACGCTTAGACCAATGGAAAAGAATAGAGAACCCAGAAATGGACCCACAAACATAGGACCAACTAATCTTTGACAAAACAGGAAAGAATATCCAATGGAATAAAGGCAGTCTCTTTGCAAATGGCGCTGGGAAAACTGGACAGGGACATGCAGAAGAATGAACCTGGACCACTTTCTGACACCATACACAAAAACAAACTCAAAATGGATGAGAGACCTAAACATAAGACAGAAAGTCATCAAAATCCTTGAGGAGAAAGCAGGCAAAAACTTCTTTGACCTCGCCTGCAGCAACTTTTTACTCAACACATCTCCGGAGGCAAGGGAAACAAAAGCAAAAATGAACTACTGGGACCTCATCAAAATAAAACCTTCTGCACAGCGAAGGAAACAATCAGCAATACTAAAAGGCAACCAACAGAATGGGAGAAGATATTTGCAAATGATATATCAGATGAAGGGTTACTATCCAAAATCTATAAAGAATTTATCAAACTCAATACTCTAGAAGCAAATAATCCAGTGAAGAAATGGGAAAAGACATGAATAGACATTTTTCCAAACAAGATATCCAGATGGCTAACAGACACCTTAAAAAATGTTCAACCTCACTCATCATCAGGGAAATACAAATTAAAACCACAGTGAGATATCACCTCACACCAGTCAGAATGGCTAAAATTAACAACTTGGGAAACAACCAATGTTGGCAAAGGTGTGGAGAAAGAGGATCTCTTTTGCACTGCTGGTGGGAATGCAAACTGGTGAAGCCATTTTGGAAAACAGTATGAAGCTTCCTCAAAAAGTTAAAAATAGAACTACCCAATGACCCAGTAGTTGCACTTCTAGGTATTCATCCAAGGGATACAGGTGTGCTGTTTCAAAGGGGCACATGCATCCTTCAATGTTTATAGCAGCACTATTGACAATAGCCAAAGTATGGAAAGAGTCCAAATGTCCATCAACATATGAATGGATAAAGAAGATGTGGTATATATATATAAAGTGGAGTATTAGTCAGCAATCAAAAAGAATGAATTCTTGCAATTTGCAACTACATGGATGGAACTAGAGGGTATTTTTACTAAGCAAAATTAGTCAGAGAAAGACATATCACATGATTTCACTCCTATGTAATTTAAGATACAAAACAGATGAACATAAGGGAAGGGAAGTGCAAATAATATAAAAACAAGAATGGGGACAAAACATAAAAGACTCTTAAATACAGAGAACAAACTGAGGGTTGCTGGAGGGGTTGTGGGAGGGGGAATGGGCTGAATGGGTAAGGGTCATTAAGGAAAACCCTTGTTGGGATGAGCACTGGGTGTTATACATAGGATATGAATCTACTTCTGAAATCATTATTGCAGTATATGCTAACTAACTTGGATGTAAATTTAAAAATAAATGAATAAAATTAATAAAAAAGTGAATTCAGAGATAGAAAGAAATCTAGTATATCAATAGCACTAATGAAGAAAGAGGATTTCGAGAGGGAAAAGTGAAGAATTTAAAAAATGAACACTGTCAAACAGAAATAATAATGTATTTTGGGGTTGAAGAATAGAATTAAAATACATATCAAAATTACATATGGAGGATGGAGATCCTTGTAGTATTCAGGAAGAGGATAAAGCATTCACTATTGTTCAGACTTTGGCCAATCAAACAGATTAAAAAGGCAAGTAACGGTTAAGCGTATATTCAATTTTGGTCTATGACAGTGATAAAAGATCCCCTGAGGAGAGGAGGAACTATTCAACAGTGTAACTGGAAAAATTGGTAATCTATAAGGTAAAAATAATGAAAAGGACGCCTACCTTATACTACACACACAAATCAAGTCCAGATGGATAGGAAATTAAATGAAATTTAGGGAGATGGCTTTCAGACGCTACTTTTCTTAAACAAGACTCAGGAAATGCTAAACAAAAGCCACTACCATGATTTCTACTCATCAATAGACACCTTACATTGAAAAGACATGCTATGTGCTGGGTGAAGGTGCTTATATGCCTGAGAAAAGAGTAATAAAAATATGTAAAGAATGCCTATGAATCAATAAAAAGACAGTAACTGGATAGAATAATGGGAAAAACAGAACGTTTTGAGAGGAGACATATTGCCAGTAAACGTATCACATGATGCTCAAACTTGCTAAAAACCAAGAGTATCAAGACCACGGTAAGGTATCTTCATACCCATTTAATTAGTAAATATCAAGAAGTGTGATAATACCAAGCCTTAGAAAAGATGTGGATCAATAGGATATTTTATCCATTGCTGCTGGGAATGTAAATTGGCCCCACCATTTTGGAAAATAACTTGTCACCACCCTCAAAATTTATTATTGCACACAACTTATATATAACCCAACAATTTCAGTCCTTTTTCTATACTCAAAAGAAACTTTAATATATTGATACCCTGTGATTTGTACAAGAATGTTCATAATAGCGCCATTTGTAATAGCAAAAAAACCAAAACCTGGGAACAACCAAAATGCCAATCAACAGGAGAACCAATGAAGAAGTTGTGGCATGTTCCCACCATGGAATTCTACATCATAAGGAAAAAGAACAACTTCTACTCCAAAAAGGAATCTCATAGGCACAATGTCTAGTGACAGAACAGAAGGTAAATTAACTATAGCCACAGATAGCACGGACACATACTGTTAATAATGTTGCATCTAAAAGCCAGTCCCGACAATTCTACTCCTGGGTGTGTACTTGAGAAGAATGAGAAATTATTTTCCCCAAAGCACACATACAAGAATGTTCATAGCAACCTTATTTAGAATACTCAAAACCTGGATGCAAATGAAATGTCCATCAATAGGAGAATGGATAAGTGATTGTGGCACATTCCTACAAAGGAATGCTACATAGCAATGAAAAAGAACTAATAATTGCTACATGAGAAACATGGCCTAGTCTCCTAGACACAGTCCTTAGTGAATGAAGCCAAATGCAAAAAACAATGGCCTCTTATAAATGGTCACATCTATATGAAAATCTATACAGTTAGGCAAAGGTCAATTTGTAGTGGCAAAGGTCAATTTCTTCTGGTGGAAGTGAAAGCTAGGAGGGAAGTACAAGGGAGGTTTCTGGGTTTTGGAAATGTTCTATATCTTGAGCTGGGTGATAATTACACAGATATATACGTATAAAAATTCATTGATCTGAACATTTAAGATTTGCACACTTTTTGTAGTTTATATTTTAATCACTTAAGAACAGGATCGAGAAAACAATGTAATATTTTATACCCTTTTTAAACATTTCAAAAATGAGTGCCACTAACTAATAATATTCACATGTGATAAAAACAAGAAAGGATGAAAGAAGAAAGGGAGGGAGGGACAGAGAGGGGTAAACAAAATTCAAGATGGCGGTTACCTCCAAGGGGAGCACAGTAGAGAAATACCAACGATTTCTTGGGTTGGGTGGTGGCTTTATTAGTGTTTTTAATTTTATTAAAAAGCAATTTATTTAAAAGAAATAGGAGGACCAGGTATGAACCAACGATGATAGTGGGTCATGAATCAAGGGTTATGAATAATTTTTGATATCTGGGGTCATTTTTACGATAGAAATAAATACCCATGCACAGGTTATTTACCTGATAACATTTCCTAAATTGGTTAAACTTAAGTTAACTTGTGATCCTTCCCTCAGTCTGTCTCCTTCAGATCCTGAAGATTTCTGCCTTTCACTTCCTGCTAAATCCACCAAATTAATCGTGGATTGCTTGGTGAGGTCTCTGTCCAGGAAAACCTGTGTGGGAGAGCACCACAGTCATGTTATCAGAGTGGTAGCAGGCTACATATGAAGTCAGTCCAGTTTACACATTAAAACATTTTTTTCTACGTGTACTTCACACTCAAAAGCATATAATAAAATTTAAAACGTTTAATATTATTGGGGTGCCTGGGTGGCTCAGTTGGTTAGGTGACCGACTCTCAGGTCATGATCTCCCGGTTCGTGGGTTTGAGCCCCATATCGGGCTCTGTGCTGACAGCTCAGAGCCTGGAGCCTGCTTCGGATTCTGTGTCTCCCTCTCTCTCTGCCCCTCTTCCGCTCACACTCTGTCTCTCTCTCAAATGTAAATAAACATTAAATTAAAAAAAACATATTACACATTAATATGTAATATATAATGTATGTATTATATATTATAAATAAAAAATAATATAAATTTAAAACATAAATTAATATATAATATATATTATAAATAAAAATTAATATTATAAATTTAAAACATATAAAATTTTAAAACATATAATGAAAATGAAAAAGCCATCTTTTTTACAATGGCATTTTACAATAATACACCACCAGGCCCAAATATCTCTGTTACTCCCTCTCAATTTTGCAGAGCTATTCCCAGTGATCTATTAGATACCAATTGCTGCTCTCAAGTATTTTGATGGTCAAACATTTTAATTTTTTTTTAGCGTTTATTTATTGAGAGACAGAGACACACAGCTGAAGTCAGATGCTTAACCGACTGAGCCACCTGGGTGCCCCGATGATCAAACATTTTATTTTATTTTATTTTATTTTATTTTATTTTATTTTATTTTATTTTATTTTATTTTATTTTATTTTATTTTTATTTTTTTTATTTAACTTTATTTTTTATTTTTTAAAATTTACAT